TCAAAAATATCAATCAATTCATATTTTTTTTTATATGAATCCAAAAAAAATTGTGCACGAATTTGATGTTTTTTAACCTTTTTTTTTTTTTTGTTTGAAAAACGAGAAACAAAAAAATTTTATTTACAAAATTAAAAACAACAAAAAAAATTCAAACTTACTTCTTTTGAAGCCGATATACCCGAAATGAACACTTTGACAACCATTGTTGCTGGATTTTGTTTAAAGAGAGAGAGAAAAAAAACACTTGTTTATCTGTTGGGAAAAATGAAAATTTATTTATTTATTTTTCAAACGAAAAAAAAAATTCATTAAATTTCCTCGCATAAACTTTTAGAAGAAAGAAGAAGAAAACATCCAAACACACCACACCACACCACACACACACCCTCATTTCGAAATCATAAAAAGTTTTTATAGCATCATCATCATCATCATTGAATGATTAATGCCAGATCTTTTCGACAAAAACAAAAAAAAAATGTTTTTAAATAGCAAAAAGAAAAAGAAAAGAGTCATGATTCATGATTCTGTTAACAGAATATGCAAATAGGAAAGCATGCAAATAGAAACGAAACGAAACGCAAAACGCATAAATTTAAATTCTTGATGATGTAACGACCAAAACTTACCTGATAATTTTTTTAAAAAAAAGTTTTTTAATAAAAATCGAAAACCAGAAATGAAAATCAATTGAATTTTTGTTTAATAACCAAAAACGGAATTTCACATCTTTTTCTCGTTGCCTGACGACGACGATTATTACGATGATTACGAGGATGAAAAAAAACACAGAAAACGTAAATATTTTTTTTCACATTTTTTTTTTTTTTTGCTCAAAGTTGCTCACAATAACAATAACAACAACAACAACAAACCGTAACACTACGCTAACCTAAAATGATATTTTTTTTTTCTATATTTGCGGCATCCAATTTCGAATTCTATATATAATTTTCCATCAGAAAAAAAAAGCGAAATCCATCGTATACTACTACTACTACTACAAAAAGTTACAACCACTACCAATACCGCACCCTATAGATGATAGTTATAGGGAATTCTGTGTTTCATCAACAACTACTACCCCACTACCCCAATACCGCTATCATCATTTTATATGATACATTCGAACATACAGTAAATCTTCTGATTTTGTTTTTGTTTTTTTTTGGACAAAAAATAATTTTTATTTTTATTTCATTTTTAATTTTTATTGTAAATTCTGGAATGTTTTACAAATAAATTATAAAATATTATCAATTTCGGATAAAATTGGTAATAATTTTTCAATCAATTCATCTTTTGTACCATTATTTTGTATACAATAATTCCAATCAGTAAAATTATCAAGACCACATTCAGTTGTTTGATCATCAATACCATTGGTAAATTTCCAACCACGATTTTTTCTTACTTGATCATTTGATTCAATACGTATTAATAATTTTTTACAATTTTCTAAATTAATTTCATTGTTTGAATCGAAATATTCTAGATCAGTTTTACGTCTTGCATCATTTAATATCCAAATTGGTTTTTCATGGCCATTATTTTTTCGATAAGAATCTAATATTGTTAAACGAAGAAAATAATTTGAATCCTGTTTTCGTATTGATTCACTCCATTCAACCATTTGTTTACGAAATGATTCTTTATATTCGGATGATGTTAATAATTCTTCAAAATTTAAATTATTACATTTTGCATATTCTTGTTTAATTGGTGCCGATATACGAAATGAAAGAATTTTTCCGGGATATTTTTCCATTAATAATTGTTCAAGAAAATCTTTACCAGATTTTCTTTTACCACTTAATATCAGTAAAAGTTTTGGTTTCATTAATTTTTGAATCGAATCAATTGATTCTTGACGTTTGGTTTCCAATGACATTTTCGTTTTGTTTCAATCACTTGACGATGACGAGTAAATTTGTTGACAACGATGCACTGAATGAACGAAAAGAAAAATACCTGAGAAAAGAAACTTTAAAAGCATTAAATTTTAACCACATCTTTAATTGATGACAACATACCTATGTTACCTGAAAAAATCAAAAATCAAAAAATCTTAACCGAATAATTTGTTGAGCGAACCTGTTTTTTTTCCTGTTTCGATAACGTACTTTATGAACAGGTTTTCAAGAATTTTGAAAATTTTATTTTTTTATTTAAAAAAAACAAGAATTTTTTTCATTACAAATTTTTTTTTCTGAAAATAATAATGAGCAACAAAAGCAAAAAAAAGAATTTCCAAAAAATTCAAGATTCTGTTGTCGATGTTGTATCACAAATTCTTGATAACAGAATTTCCGAATATAATTGATTTAAACGTCCTTTAACATGATAACGGATTTTTGTTGTTGTTGTTGTTCCATCCGTTATTTTTTCTTTAATTATCTGTTGTTTTTTGTTGTAAAAATTAATTACAGAATTACAAATTAATTAATAATCCGCTAATTAGCTGATTTTAAGCTTATTACCTGATGAAAATGACATGCACATTTCCCTGGATAAAAATCTTTATACAAAGCAATTGTTTTATTAAAAGTATCGATTATTTCAAAATTTAAACGTTTTGCTTCATCAATCAATAATTGATTTTGTTGTGCTAATTTTTTCTGTTCATTCTAATTACAAAAAAAAGTTAATTACAAAGTTTGTAAATTTAATGTAATGATTATTTACCAAAGACATATAATGTACACCGATAACCGATTGATGAAATCCCGAACCAAGTGTTTTAACAAACAACCGAATTTGATCATCGGTTTCGTTTGTAAATCCAAATCTTTTGAAAAAATTTGTTTTTTAAAGTAAAAATTTCGTTTACAAACAACAGAAAAACTTACGATCGTAATTCTTGTCGTGCAAGATGAAGATGTTGTCGAGATAACCATTGTACACCACCAATAATGATGATATTTTTTTTATTGGATTTTTTATCAAAAATTCTTCAATTGGGAAAAACAAGCAAAAAAAATTGATTGTTTGATTTGATTTGTTTTGCTGAGAAAAAAAACTTACGTTTCTTTAATTGAATCATGAAAAACTTGTACAAATGATGGACGTTGATCCTGTGATAGCCAAAATTTTGGATAATAAACAAAATTTATCATTGTATTCAATTCCATTAGTAAATATGTTTTATGATCATGTATTTTATCTGCTTCGGTTAATGTACGATTTAAACGTTCCATTATATAATGCATTATACCACGATTTGTTGAATCACCAATCAGCAGAATCTATTTTTTTTTTTTGAAAAATATCAAAAATCAATCAGAAATCAATAGAATCAATCGAATCAAATTGAAGGAAAAAAAAGAAATTTACATTTTTATTTGATAAACATTTACGTAAATATTCCGATTCAATTGGTATTGGATATTGACATCTATATGGTAACCATTGTAATTTTGACCAAACACACCGGTCTAATCGTTGACAATCCGTGCATGGTAATAACCATCGTCCATTTTCGGCACCATTTTTACATGGAATTTCTTGCTTCAAATGATCAAAACAATCATCGATTGATGAACAGGTAAAATTTGGTTGTTGTTCATCGATTGATTGCCAACCACATGATTCATCGGGATAAATTTGTAAATCACAATCCTGTTTCAGCGAACATATTTGATAATTGATTAATGATTGATTTTTGTTGTTGTTGTTGTTATCAAGTTGTTGTTGTTGTTGTTCAGGTTGTTGTTGTTGTTGTTCAAAAATTGATTGTCTTTCAATAATAATTGTATAAATAGCAATAACCATATCCATATCGGATAATTTCCGATTAATCAATATTAATTTTATTGAATTCAATCCTATGCCAATTGAAAAATTTAAACGTCCTGATTGTATTTGATCATTCAAATGATGATGATTATTATTATCATCTAATTTGATCCATGTATCACAATGTTCAACTTTAGTTTCTAATTCTATAAATAAATTTTTATATAATAATTTTTGATTTAAACGATAATTTCTATGTAATGATTGAAATTTTGGTTGAATTTCTAAACCAGGTGGATGAATAATGTTTAAATATTTTAATTTGGATAGATTATATGGATTTTTTGTACATTCGATTGAATTTCGATCTTGATTTTGACGATTATCATTGATTGTTGTCCAATTTAAATTGGTTAAATCATGATTCGGATCAAAATAATGTTGTTGATCATCTAAAGGCAACGATGGCATTGAAGATTGATTATCATCAAATTCTGGTGATAATAATGCTTCAAATATTGGATGCAAACGTTCTGTTTGATAAACAAAATGTTTTTGTTTATTATCATTATCAGTTTGACTTTGTTGTTGTTGTTGATTATCATCCAATTCAAGTAAAATTTGTTCAAACAAGTTCCTTATATTCGATAATTCGTTTTTCATTGTCATTGTTGCTGATGGTTGATGTATTGATGGCGGATAAACTGGTTGAAAATTTGTCGATATCAAATGATTCATTTGTTTCCAAGTATCGATTAAATAATCGAAATCTTTTTGATTTAAACAAATATTTTTTGATATATGACAATTTAGGCCAACAATACCTAGATGATTATCATCATCATCTGCATCATTATTTTCATCATCGATAAGTTTGTAAATTTTTTCAATAAATTTATCAAATTTACTTTTATCATTTGAAGAAATTCTTGATGATTCAGATAATAAACGATATGTATCGATTTGTAATTGATTCGTTAATGTTTTTGTTAATTTATCATCTTGTTGTTCTTGATTTCGAAGTTGATCGATTGATAAAATATCAACAATAAATGATTGATATTGATCAGAATTACGTAAAACAATATCAAATGCTAACCATTGAAATGATTTTATTTTCATTGATGATGACGATGATATTGATGGCGGATAGATGGCACCGCTTGTATCAGAATTTATTTGTTGTTGTAAATGTAATAAATGATCATTTACTTCTAATAATAATAATGTATATAATATTGATTGATTAATACTTTGTTTAGCTTTTTCCAATTCTTTCGAACCATATTTATGTAGAAAATATTGCCAAAAATTTTCCATACTATCCAATGGAATATCATTGTTGTTATCTGGTGAATGATACTGGCGATATGGCAATATCAATCCCGATCGATATTGATAAACACGTAATGGATTTATGGATGTTAACAATAAAAATATTCGTAATCGAATCGGTTGATTTTGATATTGTAAAATTTGTTGTATTAAATGTTGTCGTATTAATATTGGACCAATTATGGTTGATGTCGATGATGATGATAATGATAATGATTGTTGTCGTAATGCTAAACGATTTAATTGTATTAATTTTGATCGATCTTTTAATGAAAATATTTGTAATGGTTCATTAATTTGTTGATTATAATTATAATTATAATATTGTAATGTCCAATTTGTTTGAAAACCTAATACATCTGAAACATCTAAAAATTTTTGTAAATTTTTCGGTAATATAAAACAAATTGGTAATAATTGTTGTTGTCGTTGTAATTTTTTTACTAAATCAAATAATTTACATTGTAAATAATTGGACATTTTCATTAAAAGGGTTAATTGTTTAAAATTTTGGCTATATATTTGATTATTATCATTATCATTATCATTGTTGATTGTCATTGTTGTTGTTGTTGTTGTTGTTGTAATTAACTCTTGATTATCATCAATTATAATAATATCACATTTATTTAAATTTATAAGGGTTTTATTTAAATTAATCCATTGTTGAATTTCTATTGTTGTTGATTGTTCAATATTAAAATGATATAATGATGATGGCAGATAGATTCGTTGTTGTTGTTCTTTACATTCAAACATTTTTAATTTTTTTATCTTAATAATTTAATAAAATTAGAAATAAGAAAATTACAAAATTATAAATTATAAATTATAAATTACAAATTACAAATTATAAATTGGAATATTTTTACCTTGTTTATCATTGTATCAAAATATTTTCTTATAAATTTTGAACGTTTTTTTGTTGTTGTTGAATAAGGTGATTGTTTTTCATCATTATCATCGATATCTGAATGAAAATATGATTGATTTGATTGTTGTATCGGTTCATTATCGATTGAATTTGGACGAAACCATTGCCACCATGGATCATCTTCTTGTCCAGGTTGTCCAGTTTGTCCAGGTTGCTCAACAACCTGATCATCCTGAAAAACCATAAACGAACGATCATTTTCGGCTGTTCGATGAATTCTTGTTGTTGTTGTTGATGATGAAAAACCATTTTGTATTCGTAAAATATTAATAAAATAAATACTTAAAAATAATAAACCAATAGTTATGGCTAATAATAATGTAAATAAATTTCTTAATAATAACCAATGATGTTTTAATAGAGATATTATTAATTTTTGTTTCATTTTTTTGTTAACCCTTTGATTTCCATTCAATCAATCAAATATGTTCTGCTGCTATATGGTGAGAAATGAGAAAAATAAGAAAAGGCAAAATGAATTTTAAATGAATTTTTTTTTTCAATAAACAAAGCGAAAACGAAAACCAGAATTCTGGTTAACTGAATTCTGAATTACAAAACCAAGAATCTATTGGAAGAAATTGACAATTTGACACACAAAACAAAATGAAATTCAAGTTTTACGATTTTCGGTTGCTAAAAGAATGAAAAATGTAAATTTTTCCTTCTTTTTTCGGGTTTTTCCAAACAAAATAATTTCCACCAAGGTGAACACACACACACAACCCTCATTGATTCAATGAAAAAATTTTAAAATTCATTTAAAATTTCAAACCAAACCAAAACCGAATAAAAAAGTTTGAATCGGCTTATCGGCTTCTTTCTTTTTATTATTCTTTCCAATGAAAAGAATGTTTGAAGAAAGAAAAAGCTGAAGAGAAAAGAATGGTTGAAAAGAAATTTGCATATTATGATTCTATTGAGAAACACACTGACAAAGTGATTGATTGAATCAAATCAAATCAAAGTCGATTTTGATAGTGTTTTTTTCAATCAAAAAAAAAACAAAAATCCACAAATATCGTACAATCCAACAAAAAAAACTGATTGATTCATCAATCAATCAAACTTTTTGATTCGATTTTTCTGAAGAGCCAAAATGAAAAAATCCATTTACATTTATATTAACAGAATTTATCATTAATAATGATGATAATTTTATTCCATTATCATTATTATTATCGTTATTTAGTTATATTCTTTGTTTTTTATCTGGATTCTAGAATTACAAACAAACAAACAAATTACATTTTAATTAACTAATTAAATATTCATTTCATTCATCAACTTTCATAGATGTTAATTCTGTTTATGCAGATGTTTATTCTGTTTTTTTGTTTTTTTCTGGTTCTTTCGAATTACCAGATGTGAAATCTCTCGATATTCGAGGGAGAGATTTCCGAATCTAAACGCAGCCACTATTTTGATTCATTCGATAAGTTGGCCGGTCAAAATAGATAAAAAAGTTTCTGGTATTTTTTTTTCCTAGCAAGTTTCTCCAGAAAAAAACACATTTCAAATTATGAATATGAATGCAGAGAGGGAGAGAAACCAAAAGAGAATCCCAAGTGGTTTTGAGGATTCTCCCATATAACCAAATAGAAAAACTGTTTATTTATTTAGTTAGTTAGTTAGTTTCTCTGTCTGTGTGTGTGTGTGTGTGTGTATTTAGATTTATTTGTTTATGCAAAACATGCATACAAACATACATAGATTGAGTGAGTAGAAATAGAAATATCCATTTCTTTTTTTTTGATCAAAAGATGATGATGGTAAATAATTTGTTACTTTTTTTTTCTTGGTTTCTTGTCTGTCTTTTTTTCTGGTTTTGGTTTTTTGGTTTTTGGTTTTTTTTGGTTTTTTGGCTTTTTTGGTTTGCTCAAATCAATATCAAATGATGATAATGATCAAAACCAGAAAATCATGAATAAATCCAGAATTTTTTTTGGCTAGAATTTATAATGAATATTGTTGTTGCATTCAAAATATTCAGTTTGGGGTTTTGGTTTGGTTTTGTGGTCATTTCGTTTTTTTTCATGTTGAAACAAAGTGAGTGGGAGAATGAGAGAGAGAGAAACACTGATTCTCTAATCCAATCTATTTTTTGCTTATGTTTTCTTTATGTTTTTTTTTGCTTGGGTTTATTGGATTAAATTCTGTTAATAAATCTTTTGTCATCGATATATAATATTGGCTTATTTTTTGACATTTTTTCTTGCTTGCGATTAATCTTGAATGTACCAAGCGACTAATACTATCGTTTAAAATCTTTTTTTTTCTTCGTTTCGTTTCTTACAATAAATCTATACCCGAAAAACGAAATGAAAAGAATTAAGAATTCTACACATGCTATATGTGTTCGTTTTCGTTTGTTTATATTTCTTAGTTAGTTAGTTAGCTGATTGAATTGTTGATGATGGTGATATAGGGATTTCTTTTCGTTTCTATTTTTTCTGATGACGCCAATAATAATGATGATCAGAATCACAGAATTTCAGAATCACAAAATGATGGATATCAGAATTTATTTATTTATTTTTTCGAATACATGCTGGGCGCCAGAATATTCTTCAGTTATGGGATATTCATATGTTTGCGTGCATGGGTGAGAGAGAGAGAGTGGGAGAGAGAGAGAGGGAAAATCGATAGATTTGATTTGAAACAAAATTTCAAATCAGATTTTAATCAATATAAACCAACCAAATGAGAATAGTGATTGAATCTTTGATTATAATCATTCAGAAAAAAATAAAATATCGATTGTCATTATCGATAATATCGATTGTCATCAATAATATCGATAGTTAATTAATATTAATATATATATTACGTGTGTTTCATTTAGTTTAGTTTTCAATCATTTCCATTTCCAATTTCTTTGAAAACAGAAAATGATCAAATTCAATCAGTTTTTGATCGAAAAAATAATGATCGAATATAATCGATTGATTGATTAATAATAATGATTATTTGATTGAATCAAAATTTGGTTTTTCTTTCTTCTTAAGATTTGATTCCAAAATTTGATTTGACTAACTAAGTGTTAAAAAAACATTTTTATGATTATGGATCACGATATTATCATCATCATTGTTAATAATGTAAATTGTATCAACGAAAAAATGTCAAAATGTTTATCATCATCTTGGGACCAATATAATTATGGTGGAAATATTCTGTATTCTGTATTCTTTTTGATTCTGTATTTTGAAATGTATTTTTCACTTAAAATTTTCTATTTTTTTTTCCCAAAATGATTAAATGAATAGAAATTGAATTGGAAAACGAGAGAAAAAAAAAACATTTTTTTCTCTGTTAATGTCTATCATCGTCGTGATTCCATGATCATCATAGATGATGATAATGGTTACCTCTTGTTCCAGAATTCCCTCCCCAACCAAAAAACATAATGTTACGAAATACATTAACACTTTACTACACTTTTTTTTCGACTATTTCTACATTTTCTACTGTTTTCTACAGTCATAAGATGTTTGAATGAATGAATGAATTTTGGCTGTAAAAGTAAAATGTTTCTCGTCGTCGTCGTTATCTGTGTCTGTTTCGGTGTCTGGGTGATGTTTTTTCATTTTATTTTTTTCTGTATTTTTTTCTGGTTGTAAGTGGATAATATTAGGTTTTTTTTTGTCATAAATTGAATAACCGAATGAATGGATGGGGGAAGGAGAAAAAATGGGCAATTTTTTGAGAAACTTTCTCGCAAACATCTTTTCGTTACTTAATTTTTTTTTCTCGTTCGTTCGTTCGTTCGTCTGGTAATGAAATTTGAAAATCCGAAAATTTATTTCATTTTTCAATTTATTTATCTCGGTTAAAGTTGAAAAGAAACTAAAGAAAGATTCACCATTATTGTCATCGTCATCATTATTATTATGGTGAAAATTAGATTTACCTGCATTTATGATTACTATTTTCGTAAAGTGTATTTCTATGTTGTTGTTATCTTGGTCTTGTCATCATCATCGTTGTTGATGGAAAAATTGTCGAAGAAGAAAAAAACAATTTTGGAAAATTGAAAAACAGAAAAAAATTTCAATTTGTTTTCAAATTGTGGCTAATGACAAAAAATTGACAAAAACTTTAATCAAATTAAAATGATTCTTTTCATTTTTTTTTTTTTTTTGAAGTGATATACGATAGTTTGGTCGGTTTGTTTGTTGTTGTTGTCAACTTCAACAACAACAACAACAAACCGGAAATCCAAAAACAACAACAACAACAATTGAAACCGGATAA